TTTGTGTATGTTAAAAACGTCACATCCGGGATGAGGGAAAGTGTTGCTAACGTTACGTGCTAAAATATAAATTAATAACGTCTCCCTTGTTCTTCATGAATGTCTGCCATCTGGAAAACCCATATTTTGTCTGAACCTGTATGATAAGTGAATTGTTTAGAGAACCTTTGCAGGTAAATACATATAACACAAATATATACACTCACTGGCCATTTTATTAGGTACACCTGTCCAACTGCTTTTTGACTCGAGTTTCTAATCAGCCAATCACATGGCAGCAACTCAATGCATTAAGGCACGTAGACATGGTCAAGACGATCTGTTGCTGTTTAAAACGACCATCAGAATGGGGAAGAAAGGTGATTTAAGTGATTTTGAACGTGGCATGGTTGTTGGTGCTAGACAGGCTGGTCAGAGTATTTTAGAAACTGTTGATCTACTGGGATTTTCAAGCACAACCATCTCTCGGGAAGATTGGAAAAATTGTTGTCTGGTCTGAGTCTCGATTTTAGCTGCAATATTCTGATGGTAGGGTCAGAAATTGGCATCAACAACATGGAAGCATGGGTCCATCCTGCCCTGTATCAATGCTTCAGGCTGCTGGTGGTGGTGGTGTAATGGTGTGGGGGATATTTTCTTAGCACACTTAGCATATTTTCTTGGGCCCATTAGTACCAGTTGAGCATCTTGTTAATGCCACAGCCGACCTGAGCATTGTTGCTGACCATGTCCATCCCTTTATGACCACAGTGTACCCATCATCTGATGGCTACTTCTAGCAGGATAACACGTCATATAATAAAGCTTGAATCATCTCAGACTGGCTTCTTGAACATCACAATGAGTTCACTGTACTCAAATGGCCTCCACAGTCACCAGAGCTCAATCCAACAGAGCACATTTGGTGGTGGAAAGGCAAATTCGCATCATGGATGTGCAGCCGACAAATCTGCAGCAACTGCGTGATGCTATCTTGTCAATATGGGCCAAAATCTCTGAGGAATATTTCCAGTCCCTTGTTGAATCTATGACATTAAGGATTTAGGCTGTTCTGGTTCTAGTAAGGTGTACCTAATAAAACGGCCGGTGAGTGTATATACTACTGTACAGTAGCCACACAGAGGATGAATAAAATATCTCTGCCATACATGTATATAAAAAGGACCAAATTTAAACGTGTATATACAAGATCCTATCTATTTAGTCATGAAAATGCCATCTATAAAATCATACGTTTAAATTTACATGGGCCAGCTTAATTATTTAATCCTTCCTCAAATTATTTTTCATATGCAATACACATTATTCAGAAATGGATGAATACAGATTCATAGCATAAATAGCAGAACAGGTATAAATCAATCAGTTTGCATTGGGCAGTTATGTGACTTTGGCTTCAGGCCAGTAGGTACCCTGGTGTAAGGGGTGGTTTTTTTTTCTTAAAAAGTGAGCCTTGTTAAAGTTTTTCGCCTCATTTTCTGTTTAATTTTAAATAGGTTGGATTATAGTGACATTTTAAGCACTATTTTTGCTGAATTAGCTTGTCGGATGGTCATCATAACCACATGTTATGATGTACCAAAACATTTCCTAAAAATTTAGAAATATGAGAACATGTTTTATTTTTTAAATCTGGCCAGCACATTTAAATTTCCTCAGTCACTCTGAAGCAACAGCCAATACAGGAATCCGCTTGGTGTTAAAGTCTTTATGTGCATAATTTATTATGGCATAGATAGCAATCAAAATAGGACAAATGAGCTCATGTATGGGACAAATTCTGGACCTTTGTCAGTGAGGGGTGAGTCTTTCATTCATTCATTCATTTTCTTTTCGGCTTAGTATTTTTATTAATCAGGGGTCGCCACAGCGGAATGAACCGCCAACTTATCCAGCATATGTTTAAAGCAGTGGCAACCCATCACTGGGAAACACCCATTCACACACATAAACTACGGTCTATTTAGCTTACCCAATTCTCCTATGTCGCGTGTCTTTGTACTGTGGGAGAAACATGAGAACCCGGAGGAAACCCATGCAAGCACAGGGAGAACATGCAAACTCCACACAGAAATGCTAACTGGCTTAGCCAGGGCTCAAACTAGCGACTTTCTTGCTGTGAGGGGATCATGCTACCCACTGCACCACTGTGACATGGGTGGGTCTTTCAAACCACCCAAACCCTCGCAGGATATGGGCCTGTATTATCAGGCTTCACCAGTGAATCCAGAAGGAGGGGAGGGCATGGTTAAATGGGTATAGGTAGAAATCTACCATATTAAGGTTAATACCCACATGGGTACAGTGAATAGGATTGCACTAATCATGGCTTGGGATTCTTGAGAGATTAATTGGGTTGAGTTACAGGTTGGTATTGAGTCTTAAAAGACTTCGTTGTGGAAACACACTTCAGTATTATTTAGTGAGGTGATTACATTACAGTCTAAATTACACAGATTTATTGCAGAACATGCCTTTTTACGGTCACACTTTACAATAAGATTTCATTTTTTAACATATTTTTTCAACTGCTTACACACAAAATCTTTTCATGTCACACAACGTCTAAAACCTCTCACTCAAAATGCAAAACTATACAGCAAATCTCCAAAACCAGAAGCTGTTTCTCAGCTTTTCAATTGGTCAATCAGTTTCCTTTTTTCAAAACACTACTCACAATTCTCTACCTATAACAAAACAAAAAATCGAACAGGAAGCTACTTGTTTTCCTTATCCAAACACAACCAATAAAATGCAACACTTATTCACACACACACACACACACACACACACACACACACACACACACACACACACACACACACACACACACACACACACACCTCAAATGTGGAAGCACTCATTTCTTTACTGATCACTAACCAATCACTGCTTTACTGTAGTCTAGGCCTGTAAATTGGTGTTCTGGTTCCCTAAAAAACTGGTTTGCCACAATCTGTAGGTTGTCATCCAAAATCTGTAGGTATTTACCTACCCTCATATTCACATTTTCTAAATCCTAAATTCCTTTAGAAAAGATTAGAGCTATTTTTCTGAGCCTGGATCTGTAATATGGTGGCCAACCCTTCGCCCTCGTTACGCTTTTTCAAGAAATGGAGAGATGTGAGGCATTTACGTTTTTTTATGTGCAGTTTTGGGAATAGTGTGCTGAGTAAAAAAAAAAAAGGTGACATTTTGTAAACGTGTGCAAGCAAAACTGTAACATGAATATTATGGCTGATACAGCATTTAATAATCATAGATTAACATTGACTAATGCATTATTAACATCCAAATCCATGCTTGTTAACATTTATGCACCGTGAGTTAACAAACTAATAAAGAACAACTATATTTTCATTAACTAACATGAACAAATACTGTAATAAATGTATTGTTCATTGTTTGTTCCTGTTAGTGAATGCATTAACTCACATTAACTAATACAGCCTTACTAAAGTATTTCCCTTTTTACTAATAGAAAAAGGTATAAGGGAATGTTAGCTTGTATTAAAACATTTATTGAGAAGAGAGTATACATACTGACAAATAGTTGGTTTCAGGACATATGAAATGAACAATTTATTTGCAAATTATACTAATATAAAACAGTTTGTGTATGACATATATCCAAAACATATCCGTTCAAGAATAAAGATAAATAAACAATGCTAAAAGAACGCTAAAACCCTACACTTTTGGCAAAGTGCTGTATCATTCCAGTAAACTAGAAAACAAAACAAAGCATAGTCTAAAAATTTGCAATGCCACAGAAAAAAATTCTTCACACATTAAACAGAACATTTGCTACATTTCGTGTAAAAAGTCGACAGAGCAAGTGGCTCACAGAGACAAGGTAATCCTCTGTGCATAGTAAAATTACATTTGTTTGTGTCCCTTTGGACAAATTTCAAGTTCTTCACGGATGCATTGTCATACTGTTCACCTGGAAGGCACATGATCCCCAAATGCAATTCAAGGCTAATTGAAATCCCTGTTATGAATACCAAAAAAAAAATCAGGCCTCTCCAGTATTACTCAAGGAATATGAAGAGAAACGTTTGTCCCTTCCATTCCCTTCGTCCACAGAGAAAAAAAATGCTCAACACAGTCTGCAGAAAGCAAAAGAGGAGAAGCTGTGGTTGTTTTCCTTGAGTTGATCATGCACATAATGTGCATAATGTTACTGAATTCAGTTTCATTCATTTAGGGGAGACATTTACCTTGGCAGTGTCACCGGAAATTTACAACACCGTGATAAAGGAATAAAGAGTAACAAACATAACATGAAGAATCTGAAGTCCGTTGCTACCTTAAATAGTTCGCTTAGCAAACACAACGTGTAACTAGTCAAACAATGCATGGAAAAGGCATATCTCACAAAAAAGACACTACATCGAGAAAAACGCTAACAGTTTCACTCCGTCATCAAAGGTTTTAACAGTCAATTAAGAGAAAGTTCGTTTTCACAGTCCTCAATTGTGTCGCTCATTCAAAAGCGCGAGACGCATGTTATGTTTAAATCATTACCACACGGTAACATACACATTGACAAAGTTAGAGATTCTCCAGTATGTACAGAGACAAGTATCTGTCTGCAAGTATTCTGCATTTTTAGCAAAGAGCAAAGGTGAACAGTGATGACCCTGAGACGTACTGCAGATAATAGAGCAAACAGGAAAAATAACATTACAACACTTGATGCCTTTTTTTGTTGTTGTTGTTGTTTTTTTCATCCATTGGAAAATTAGCACTACACAGTCATACATCAAATCAGTCACTAAAATAGGGAGGGGAAAAAGCTTACATGTCTACGCAGATAACATACACTCTTATCAACTTCATACTGATATGTAATATATTCCATATTTTTGTCTTTTGAAAATATTTTGGAAGTTTTTTTTAAATATATTTTACATATTTTGAAATCTACAAAGGAAACAAGGCTTTTAGTGATAATAAACCCAAGTATATTTAACTTTTTCTTTTTTTTTTTAGAGAGAGAGAGAGAAAATAAAGAGGAAGAAAGCACTGATCTATATAGAATCACAGGCAGGTTCCAACCTAAAAAGATAAGTGCTGCTGATGAAGTGATTGGACAGAGTATGGCTTTCAAATAAAAAGCAACGCAATTAAAGGCAACGAAAGTGTCAAGCTGCCTACACATGCTCAGCACTGAGCACAATCCCACTCAAACAAAACACTTGGTTATTCAACTCTTCATGACACGCAAGACCGAACAGATGGAGCTTATACAGGAAAAACATGACGCAGACACATTCAGGAAGAGCGGAACCTGCCGTGAATTAAAGTGACCTATGGCATTGATTCTAAAGACTCCGTTCCTTCTGGCGAAAGACTAATCTCCCAGTGTGGAGGGCCGGCGTGCAGGAGGGGACGGGGAGTGCAGTGGGGACCGTCTCAGTAGTTGAACTGCCTCTGTCCCGGCTGGTGAACGTAGCCCCCGGTGGCTTTAGCCTGTCTAGCTCCGCCATCACGCAGCAGATTGAGGCGGCGCAAGGCGTTGCGAGACAGCTGCTGCCGATCAACGTTGTCCCGAATACGCTGCGCCAAGCGGCCGTTCTTGGTCTGCTCCAGAAACCCTGCATGAGCAGCGACCAGAGCGGCTGCGTAACATCCAGAAGGGTGACTCGGCCGGCGCTGAACTTCAGATCTACAAAGAAAAATTGTCAGATTTCAACTGTTGTGATTTACTATACAAAAAAAACCAACAAACAAAAAACAGAGTATCATATGTGGTTCTGAGTGTAAAAACAAAAACAACACCAAATGAAAAGACAGCTTTACTGAGATCAGAGGTTGTTAGTCAATGGTTTTTGGCTTAGACTGAAGCAATCTGTTTGCATTACCATGTTATTATCATGTTTAACAGAAGGGCTGGCCAATAAAATCGATATAGATAATTATTGATCGTACACCATTGTCAATAACATAATACATGATAATACATTGTTTTTATTATTACTATTTATGCTATTCTTCTATATCAGGGGTCACCAATCTCAGTCCTGGAGGGCCGGTGTGCCTGCAGGGTTTAGCTCCAACTTGCTACAACACCCCTGCCGGGATGTTTCAAGTATACCTAGTTAGATCTTGATTAGCTTGTTCAAGTGTGTTTGATTAGGGTTGAAGCTAAGATCTGTAAGACACCGGCCCTCCAGGAACAAGTTTGGTGATCCCTGTTCAATGGCATCACTGCAAAAACTCTTCGTTGGAGTCTTTATTTTTTCAGAAAACGAAGTAAATCATCCCCTTACCTTAAAATGGATGGCTCACGGGTGCTGTCCTTGGCAGGTCGCTGACGAGGGCTGTGAACGGCGTACACGGACATGCTGGGGTGCTCGATCAGTAGGTTCTCCAGAGGACTTGTCTCCAGCAGGACCGGAGCTCTGCCTCCAGCCATGAAACACGGTGGAGGAGTGATGAACCAGCTCTCCTCCAGCCCACACGTGGCCTCCAGATGCAAGAAGTTGCCGTCCTCTGCATCAGTGTCTGCCACCGAATCCAGAGAGGAGCAGGAGGAGCAGCGCACGGGAGGGTCAAGCGGAGCAACGTCATCATGGCAAACCTCCAGATCATCTCCACATGCACCAGAGCAGGCCTTTGCTACAGGAACAGACGACAGAGAGGATGTTATAGAAAGTTGTGGCATATATTGTGAGTAAAACAGTTTCATTTTATCTTTTGGGAATTGACTGTATTGTTTCAAATGAGTTAAATGTGAAAATGCTGTAAAATGACATGAAAAGGGTCTTAACTCTGATAAAATAGTAATGTTTTATTTACACAACCTTCAAACCTGTGTGAATCGGAAATTGCTAAGACTTGTTTCAGTATGTTGATGTAATTACAAATAAAACAAAATATTCAGTAGGGGGCAGAGCATTCTGCTTACATATTATTACATCATTTCAAACTATCAGTAAGGGGGGCATGGTCAAAAATATTGTGGCTAAAGCTGTCAAATTGACATCAGAGAAGGACCGCCACTACAAACGCAGAAGCAAATGGTCAGATTTTATTTAAAATGACCAAAACAAACAAAAACATTTCAGTAGATTAATTTGAACTGATTAATTGTTCGAATAAAAATAACGATTGTAAATTTTGATTTCACTTGAACTTTATTTTAGGGTGAACTATCCCTTTAAATTACTTGGATTGTTTAGAAAAGGCGTACTGTTCATTTTTGATGCATTCTAAATATAACGATGATCCAAGTCATATTTAGGGAAGAGGATATCATAAAGAATACTTGGAACACAGGCCCATAGCCAGCCTATTGAAAGGGTTGTTTTTTTTCTCAAAAAGTGGACCTTTTTGAGGTTATTCGCCTCATTTTCTTTAAATTATGAGGTTCAAATACTGCATTTTTGTGGCATTTTGAGCACAAAATTTGCTGTATTTGCCTGTTTGATGGCGATCATAACCACATGTTTTCATGCAACAAAAATACTTCCTGCATTTTTGTCAAAGTGCTTGCCATGTTATTTTACCACAACGTGTTTATATACAAATATGCATTTTAAACGACATAATTACAATTTTATAAATAATGCATTCGAGTTTTAAATGAACATTTTTGAAAAAAGAAATATGAAAAAATACTTTTTTAAAAGTACAAATTTATCGTCATCCATAAAAAACCAATAATAATTATTAGGAATCTGTTAAAACTTGTTTTAAATTAAGAACTGAAGCCTATTGGCAAATAACACACTGGCCAGCTCATTTCCTCAGTCAGAATTTGTACATTTTAATAATTTAAAATTAAATTAGTCTAAAAGCCTTCTATTGGTTATTTTCACAATTCATGAAGGCATACTGTTAAAAAAAAGGACAAACGAGCTCTTATAGGTGGCAAATTCTGAACTTTCGATCCTCCTGAACCCCTTGGCTATGAGCCTGGAACAGAGCAAAACTATCTAGAATAACCTACTGTAGCAAGTACAATCATTACAACAACACAATCAACTTTGCTTTGTTGGCCGTGACATGTTTTTAAAGAAATTGCAACAAATCCAAAGAGAAAGTCTACAAGATTCCTTTTATAGATCAGAGAAGAGAAGCTAAATTCAATGGAATTACTGGACTGAAAACATATGTTGAAATGTCTCAAATGTCAATCGACATCTAATCAAAGGTTTCACAAGTTCTATGAAAAAAAATCATGTGTGTAGACAGAAACCAAGAAAGTAAATATTTTGCCCACACCACTTTTCTATTTGTGCTCTTCGTGGCTCCTGGCAGGTAACCAAAACTGGCGTAAACAGCTGTGTTTTGGACAGACACTCAATAGCGCGAAACTTCCAGCGGCCTCTAGATGGCAGTGTGAATGCACAATCCAATCAGTGAACTAACCAAACACAACAGAAACCTGACAACCTTTACATGTGATATATCAAATCATACAGAGATAACATCACATATTTAAATTAAATGTAACACAAGACCGACTAGTCACCAGAAGCTTCCACACCCATAACACTAATGTTTTCGTGACTTCCCTCACAGGGCCACACCTTGTTTATCAGTAGTCTTGCAGAGTCCTGCCAGATGACATCGAACACTTTCTCAACTCAGGGATCTTAACCTTCTTACACCACTGTTCAGCGTCCCTGAGAAGCCAGTTAAACTCTAATACGCTCGCTGTGATGGGAAAGTACTCGCCGATATTTCCATCAAGCTACACGGGTGTGAAAAAAGAGGAATGTTTTCAACCTCCAGTCTCATCTTGTCCTCCTCAGCCTTCAGGCAAAAGATTTATGTTTATAATCGCTCCATGTTCAAGGCCCACCCGTGTAATGTGCATAAATGGTAACTTAATCTGTCCTATTTTTACCTCAGACCCCACCGTAGACACTTTTGTCTGACAGGCTAAAAGCGTTGTTGCCCATAAACATCTCTCCCTCCCTCCCTCCGCTAATAAAGGTGAACTGGGGCAGTCAGATTGCCTTGCACCTGAAATATTCACACACATACACAATATGAGAAGGCCTGTATTTGGGCAGGCATCATGTTAATGAGGGCATTGCGTCTGTGCCAGGGGTTACAGAATCTGTAATATGGCTCCGGCAGACTGGGCCATCTGTATCAACTGAGGTACACTAGGGTCATCTCATACATAAGAGGATGTATGCGTGCCCAGTTTACACAGAGCATGAGGAGGAAATTATACTGAATTCTGATGAATGCGATTGCATTTACATCTATCATGCAAACAGATAATTAGACGTTGCATATTGAAAATGTAGAAGTAAGATTTTAACGTAGATATTATGAAAAAGACCTGAAATCTAAAAATTTGTTTGCTAAAACAAGCCCTAAATAGTTACTTGGCTATTAGTTAAAGTAATTAAATATAAACAGTGATGTTCTCAGGCCCTGTTCTAGAATAAAAGCACAGAGTGCTTCTGGAAAATGTGAGGGTGCCTTAACCTTTCTATTTTGACATATTATATTTTGGTCCCGTCCACTGCTGTGCTTATCACTGTCAATCACGGCATGCAGTTTCATGAGTTAATATGAATTTATATGAGGCCACTGGTCCCAGTAGCTGTTATAAAAACTTTAAAAAAAATAAATAAATAAATCAGTTTGCTAATAAATGTATATTTTAATATCTTTTGTGTTCAACAGAATCTCAGATAGGTTTTGAAAAAGTGAAGGGTGAGTAAATGATGACCGAATTTTCATTTTGGGGTGAAATGACCCTCTAAGCCAGTGTTTCTCAACCACGTTCCTGGAGGACCACCAGCTCTTCACATTTTCCATGTCTCTTTAACCAAAAACACCTGATTCAGAGACTGAAAGGCCTGTAATGAGTGTGACAAAGGGGGCATCCAAAACATGCAGTGTTGGTTGTCCTCTAGGAACGTGGTTGAGAAACACTGCTATAAGCCAGCTTTTCAGCTCGCGACCCCCAAAATAACAATTCCAGTGACTCATGAACCCCACTATCCTCAAAGGTGGTTATATACAAACATTGTACACAATGATGCACACACAGCAACTGGAACTATGTAAACACAAGCATATTGGCAACACGAACAAGTGCAATTGTCTAACATACATACAATTTTTTTATAGTTATTATTCATTTGTTTAATTTAATATTAACCCTGTTTAATGAGAATGGGGCAATGTTTACAGCATAAGACTTTTCTTTGTTTAATTTTGGAGACTGCCACTTGGAGATCATCCTCTTTGTTCAGTCACAGCCTTAATTTTTAATGTATGTAAGTGCTGTAAAGATGTGCAACTAACGATACTGCGGTGTCATTACTCTAGCATAATAACCCCAGGGGTGGCAATCCAATGGAAAAAGAATAGCTTTTTATTTGCATTTTGTTTTTTATGTAACTATTAAATACTTTTTTTTTTTATCTTCTGCAGGTTATGGATAAAACGGTAACACTTTATTTTGATGGTCCATTTGAGTATTAGTAGACTGTCTGCTTAAAATCTGCTGATACTGCTTCTTCAATAGACATTTAACTGACTATAAGAAACTTTGCAAGTACATGTCAACTTACACTAAACCTAACCCCAACCCTACAGTTTACTTATCTAATGAGAATTTCTTGGCATGTAGATGCAATGTAACTTAAATTCAACAAACGGACCATCAAAATAAAGTGATAAAAAAGGTAAATCTAATAGTTTAATAATGAATATATGATATTTTTGTAAATCACCAAGCAACCCCCCCCCCCTTCTTCATTGTCTCACAACCCCAACTTAGGCAACCATTGCTTTAAGCAATGATCACAAATATGCACTAAGAAAGTAAATCAGTTTCTTTTTAATTAAAAAACATTTTCTCGATGCAAACTAAAAGCCTGTTCATCCGCATGTTTGAAGCTCCACAACACAAATGTCAGTTCACTGATCAACAACAGGAAATGCAGGAAAGATATCTGACCTAGATAATCGACCAGAATCCACTCGTCGTCCTCCTCCTTCTCGTTGAAGTCTGGATCGGCAGGACATCCACTGCCCTCCTCCAGGGAGTCTCCAAACAAGACGCTGGTGAACCTCTGGAACATGTTGCTGTCCCGTGCAGAGGCGTGAGGCTGGAGGACGGTCCTGCTGGGAGTGGGCGAGGGCCGGGCTCTTTGGTCATCAGCTGCGGGAGCCGCTCACTGAGTTCTTGATAAAGGTGCTGAAGTGCATTAGTTACTCCTTCTCAACTGTGAAACACCTGAAGTTCAGCCATTTCCTCTTGTTGATAGTGCAAAACAGAAACAGGCCCTGGAAGGCAAGCAAGATAGTGATTAACAGTTTTATTGGTTATTAAGGAAAATACAGAATAGAATACAGTTTCTCTGAACAAAATCAAGGCCTCAAAGTCACAACTTGGTTATAACTAAAATAAAACCTTCAACATGCAATGGTCAGAAATATATATTAGTCACTAAATAAAAATAATTGAGGTGATAAATAATACAATCCTTAAAAAACCATCAAATATAAACTGTCATGGTCAAAATATTTCTCACTCATTGTAGTTTTAACCCTTCTCCAAATAGTACTTGGATCATTTCTTATAGTACAAGTTTTCCATCTGCTTATAGGTCATTTTTCGCAAGCAGCTACTCATCTAACGTGAGATAATTGTTAATTAAAACACAGGACAACACACCATTTTTATGTTGTCATTTGCCTTAAATTGCAGGTGTCAAAAGACATAAAGACAGACAGATACTCCTGAGAACAGACCAGCCAAAACAAAGCAGTCTAAAGTGTCTCTGCTGTCACAGATACCGCTTGTCCTCCTCACGCGAAGCTGATGCCTGTGAAAACTGATCTTTGTACAGATACACCCAGCCTCGTTCAGGACTATGACTCACGAGGGTACTCTTATGTGTTGTTTTGCTTGCTACAACAAAGAGAGACAGCTGTGAAGTGAAGGACTACAAGCTGTTCTTCACCCCACTGCACCACTGAAACAAGAAAACCAATTCATACTCCTTCCACCTGCTCATATAGTCGTGGTGTAGCAGCCTTTGTTTTGAGCATTTAGGGGGTTGGGAGCTATTATGGGGTCACATACATATAATAAGTGCCCTTCAGAACCCCAAAAAGAGGATTATAGACTGACAAGCAGAGATAAGCAGCGGCTTTGTGTCAGCAGCCAAAGGAAAACTGTATTGTTCAGAGGTCACATTTTCATAGCTCGGGATTGAAATTAATATAGCTGACGAACTCAGTTTTGCATTTTTTAGGAGATTGCAGTAAATATATTTCTAAGTATATTGGTATTAATAAATGAAAAGACTCTAGAAAAAAAGTGTACATGCTTGCTTAATCGCATTTTAATGGGAGATGCTCTAAAACTAAATAAATTTCAGATGCTAGCATTAAAATAAACAAAAACCTATATGTCTACTAGGCATAAGATTCTGACGGTGTGATAACCTTGAATGAAAATATCACGGTTTTACGGTATTGTGATTACTGCATTTAAATGTCTGGGTAAAAACAAAAACTTTTTCCCTTCTATAAACAATATATATTTTATTTTAAGAAACATTTAACTTATTTTGCAGCAGTAAACATGTCAGGCTAAATAATTCAAATCAATCATTGACATCTGTTTTTTAAAATGGCATCTTTTCTGCTGGATATACTGTTTTTCTAAAAAAAAAACAAAAAAAGTAAATAAAAAAATCTTACACATACCTTTGGAATGGTATAGCAAAACATTTTGACGGTTTTAAAACCTTGACTTTTTCAAACAGTAGTATACCTTGAAAACGGTTATCGTCCCATACTTCACACTATATATCACATCGCATATTATCACACTAAAAAAATATTAGAAATGGCATAATGTGTACACTAGAACAAAAATAAAGCCATTCTATTGTATTGATTTCAGGTGTTAAACAATTTAATTTAAACGATTTAATAATATGTGCACTCGTCCATGTTCCATGCTTTTAAAAAATGGATTAAAAGCATAACTTTACAACTGCATATATATTATATAAATATAAGAAAATATATAAATAATAATCTATTAATAAAATAAAAAATAGAATAAAAAAACTCTTTAATCAGATTAAGTGGTCTTTATTTTCATGTCAGATCTTGTGGAAATTAGCTAAAACCTTTCTGGTTTAATGAAACATACATCCCTACACAGGCTATGCATTATTGCAGCGTACTATTGCATAACACCATCCTATAGGTGGTACAGTACAGTATGTTCTTTGGTTAATGATGTTTTCGCAGGCCCAGCAACTGAATAAAACCAAACTGTTTTGAAAAAAATGTAAAACATTTAATGTGAACGTTTACAAACCCGCATCAAAGCCGCTATTTATGGAATGCAGCAAAACAAGAGAGTTCAAGGTAACAACTGATCCCTTTCTAACTATTGTCCTACACTGTTAATGGATTATTAATGTTAATAACGCAACCATGCAATGGAAGAGCATGCACCATCGAGTTTAATACTGCCAGAAATCTACATTTGCTTGCCATGAATGATGGTTTATTGACCCGAGAGAGACTGGTCGGGAAGGGATGTGTAACCCTACACCGACCGACTGGGCGGAAAACGCGAACCCGAACACTTCAACTGGCTCTGCTGAACAAAGCTTAATCCGTAAAATCCAAATATGCTCACACTGCAGAAACAAACAATGAACATTTCCAATGGCCTGCAGGCTCTGGCAGGTTCAGTAATACAGAATGTGGATATATTTAAATGCATAGCATGTATAACGTTATGTTTTTTCGTTTTCTTTGTTTAACATGTAAACTTTTCACCAGCATTTCTCCAACGTTATTGATTGCATTTTGATGAAGTTTAATTCAAAGCGTCTCTTCAACGTATTGATACGGAAAGTCTACCGATCGGCAACAAAGAGGTTTCTGCTCACCTGCGGCAAAAAGTAATGTAAACAGGAAGAGGGCTGACTTCAAGAACAAAAACAGATCACTTCGACTGGTTGAGGTAGATAATTTGTCGTGCGATATATAAAAATATATAAATATAATTCTTCCCGGAAGAAATTCAAAGTTTGTGGACCCTTTAGTTCGGAGTTTCGCAGTCGGCTCTTTTTCGTTTCTTCTCCGAGGTCTCAACTGCTCCCTTTGTTATTGTTGTGGAAAATTAACAGCTGATCGGTCGTTACGTCGCCGAGGACAGCCCATGGGCGGGGCTTGCCAGAATCGTAGTAACCAATGAAATCGCGCCCCTGTGTTTGACTGACTGTCACTAACGCACGTGACCTCATCCCCTGAAAAGGCAAGACCGGGCAGAACACTCCATGTTGAGGACTGTCGCCTAATAGGTTGGGTTGTACCAAGTTTAAATTATTCAACCCCCTTTGAATTTTTTTTCTTTAAGTATTTCTCAGAACAAAAAAAAATTCACAGTATGTCTGATAATATTTTTTCCTCTGGAGAAAGTCTTATTTGTTTTATTTTGGCTATAGAATTAAAGCAGTTTTTAATTTTTTTAGCAAAAATTTTAAGGACAAAATTATTATCCCTCTTAACAAACCATCGTTATAGAATAAATTGCCTAATTATCCTCTCCTGCCTAGTTAACCTTACTAACCTAGTTAAGCCTTTAAATGTCACTTTAAGTTGTATAGAAGTGTCTTGAAAAATGTCTAGTAAAATATTATTTACTGTCATCCTGGCAAAGATAAAATAAATCAGTAATTAGAAATGAGTTATTAAAACGGGGGGATTCAGGGGGTTTAATAATTCTGACTTCAACTGTACTTAAAATACTTTTATTTAAGATGGTCTGATAAGTATTACATAATACCCGCTTAACTTTAAACTATGCATAACTAGTTGGATCAAATAAATGACAAACTTTTCTGAGGACATCCAATCATGGATCTTCTCACACAGCATAAGTGAAATGGTTGAAATTTTTCAGCAGACGGTGATAAAATGTTTTTTAATAGCTGTCAACTCTTTTAACTGGTAATTTGTACATTATAAACAAACTGTTTAAAACAGAGCAGCATCAGATAATGTGCAGTCTGTGTTAAACAAAAGCCATGACCTGCATTTATTTACTTACAACAACATACCTACTCCCAGGGCCATTTTATATCGAAGTTGATATTGAGCCGCACCATACAGGCCTGTAGCCAGGGAGGTTTGGTTGGTTCAAAAGGCCCACCCCCACTGACAAAGGTCCAGAATTTGTCCCATACAGGAGCTCATTGGTACTATTTTGAATGCTAAGTCATCATAAATTGTGAAAATAACCCATCAAAGGCTTTAAAACCAAGTAGAATCTGACGTAAGCAAAGTCATCTTTCACCACTGACCTACTGTATTGTTGTTAAATAGCAAAGGCATTTTACAACAAACTTTTATTCGAAGTCTTGGACCTTATTCTTGAAAGAAAAAATGACTAATACAAAATTGTGAAACACCAAAAGCCGACCATATTAACCTTAAATATTAATAATTTGGGGTGACGCAGTGGTGCAGAAGATAGTGCTGTCGCCTCACAACAAGAAGGTCGCTGGTTCGAGCCTCGGCTGGGTCAGTTGGCGTTTCTTTGTGGAGTTTGCAAGTTCTCCCTACGTTCGCATGGGTTTCCACTGGGTGCTCCGGTTTTCCCCCACAGTCCAAAGACATTTGGTACAGGTGAATAGGCTAAATTGTCCGTAGTGTATGAGTGTGTATGGAGGTTTCACAGAGATGGGTTCTGCTGTGATGACCCCAGATTATTAAAGGGACTAAGCTGAAAAGAAAATATTTGAATGAATAATAATTTGGCAATTGTTGTAATTCATACATTTTCAAATGTACTATCTTTTACAAGAGAGGCTAGAAAAAGTCTACATTTATTATTATTATTATTATTATTATTATTATTATTATTATGATTATTATTATTATTATTTATTTTTATTATTATTATTATTATTATTATTATTATTATTATTATTATTATTATTATTATGTTTTAATTATTCAATATTCAGATGTCCAAATTCTGACTGAGGAAAGTTGAATGTGCTGCTGAGTTTGTTATATGCATAACAAGTTACAATAGGCTAGAGTTTTTCATTTAAAACTTTAACAGATAAAGAATGAATTCTAATGATATAGGATAAGGTAAAACATTTAAGTATAATAAATAAAAAAATAAGTTTTTTTTCTTTATATTTCTGTATTCTAAATAAAAAAAAATATTTTTAGTACATCAAAAAGTGTAGTATGATGACCATCTGATAAGCTAATAACAATAATAATAATAGTGCTTCCAATGTATCTAAATGCAGTATTAAAACCTCATAATTAAATAGAAATTGAAGCAAATAACTGTAAAAAAAGGGAAAAAGAGCCACCCTTTTCACCAGGCTGGCTACAGGCCTGCCATAGTTTTATGATGTGGGTTACAACAACATAAACAGACATAATAGCTTATATGAATTTGTTTTTTATTAGAAAAGAATGGTCGGTAATATGATGCAAGACAGTCCAACAGATTAAAAAATGTATTTTTGGTGAAAACTGTAAATTCTAGGCTATGTTTTATTTATTTATTTATTTTTTTATAGCCCTTTAGACTATTGAGTGGAAATTTCCAGAACAAAACACCAAAATCTCCCTATTGAGGATGTAGGTCACTATTTTTTTTAACAAAACACTCCATCCCCCTCAGCACCTTTCAGATGCCTGTTTTGGTAAGAGAGGCCTGTTTTAAGACCCATTTTCTGCCCCCACCAAGACACTAGTTTGAACAAAAGGACGTAGGACTACACCCTGGTGAATCAGCAGATCTGAAGCAAACTAAATGCGTGATTACATCATTCATACACAGATATAACTTAAAGGCATAAATTCACCCAAAATTGAAAAGTTTATGTTAATTTATTGACCCTAAGGCTGGCTATCCAAGCTGCAAATGTTTTTCCCATCAGATGTTAAGCAAACTAAAAATGCTATTGCATCATCTATCAATCCAGTGAGTTTAAACAGAGAGAATCATTAAAGAGAAAGTTCACCTCATAAAACACTTTTCATTTCTCACCTTCAGGACATCTCAGATGTAGCTGTTTTTTTTTTTCAGTGTAAGATTAAAGAGGATTTTTTAACAACGTCTGGCATTTTGAGAGTATAAAAAACATATATAAAACAAAATCAATACACATGCCTTTGGATGGCACATCAATCAGGTAATAATCCAATAATAATGTTCAGTTTTTTTACACAGTTCCATCATTTAGTTTCATAAGGCTCAATAATCAATGCTGAGCATAATTGAGTACACCCTATTTTGAAAATTAATATTTTTTGAATATTTCGATCCATTTCTCGGTGAATAAAGGCAATTCATTTTGTTGCATTTAAATAAAACAGATTTAATAAACAGATACATTTATTAAAATAATATTTTAGTCATCAAACATATCTAGAAAATGAAAGATAATACAAGTAAATTTAAGCTAATTATTGCAGAAAAAATTACAACCTACAAAATTTCAACAAATGTTTTTGCTTTTCTTGATTTTTCCTCTTTTTTTAAAAAAATTTGTATGTAATATTTTTCCATAACATATAAATTTGGGTGTACTAGTTATCGTAAATTATTTTGTTAGATAAGCTCCAGTTTTGGCTTCAGTATTGCCTAATCTAATGTACATTCCCAAATATAATATTGTATACCCTACTATTAAAACTATTCATTTAAAATATAGATTTGAATTTTGTATTTATATATGCTAAGCACTGTATACAGATATTAATTTAGTTTTGTCTCTCAAAGAGCTCGTGTCTGTTAAGTTGTATTTAATGGATCTCTTCATATCTACACTGTAAAACCCCAAAAGTTAAGGTAACTCAAACCATTTAAGGAAACCATTTACAACAAAGCATTTAAGTTTAAAAACTAATCCTAATGAGTACTGTGAACTTACCCATTCGAGTAAACAAAGTATTTTGAGCACAGTAAAACCCAATAAATGAAGAGAACTCAAACCGACGGAGTACTGTAAAACCCAATAAGTTAAGGCAACTCAAACCGTTTGAGGAAACCGATTGCTACAAACCATTTCAGTTAAAAACTACTGTACTGTGAACTTACTCCATTTAAGTTGAAGTAATGAGGCATTTAATGAATTCATTACCTTCAACACTAAGTTCAAAACGCTTTCCAAATGATTAGAATTAACGTTCAGTCAATTTTGAGTTAACTACACTCATTTCATATGATAAAGTTGACTGCTGGGTTTTACAGTGTAGATGCATTTAAAGCACAATTACTGTACAGTATATAACTGAGAGTACATACACATCAGTGTGGCCCAGAATAGCTTTTGGACCCTTTGTCCGATCTTCCCTTGAAAATAAGACAGATGACCTTTTCATCAGGATGGAAAAAATGCTACTTTTTTTCCTGGTTTAAAGTTCTGTCTCTGACGCAGCTTTTAAAAATGTTCTCCTTTCCTATTTAATCAGTTCACTTTCACTCACAGATCACAACAGTGTGCAATCTCCCTGCTGGAGATCACCAGATTTCCAAACAGTGTGTTTTCCTGCTAGGATCAAGATGACGTGAGAGTGAATCAGCATTCTCATGCGCCATCAGCATGTTTTCACCCTTTTTTTCGTGATATTGCCCTTTATTTACTCAACGAAACAAGGCCGCACCTGCTCACTCTGGGTTAAATCATAAAGATAAGCTACAGCTCACCATGACCTCCACAGGCCTTGTCTCAAAAACTGACACTCATGGCAACTGTGGAAATCAAACTGTTTTTAAATGAAGTTAGATCTGTTTAGACTTGATCAAAAACTTTGAGATTTGTTTATCCACATAAAAGATTTGATTATTCATTAAAATTTAAAATCATGTAAAAGTCTATGCAAAAAATGCATAATTCCCACAAACTGTCCCAAGATTTATGATCTGTTGTCTGAATTGATGCTTGTCAAATCAGAACATATTGTTCATGAAGATTTCACAGAATTCTTGATATAAACAAAAACATCATAAACCCAACCGTACGCTGTCCAGAAGGCCACCCTTTGACTGTCTGATGTAATTCTGTTAATGTTTAGGGCATGTACCAAACTTGTTGT